TATATCTTTTGGTCATGTTTCTTTATTCAAACAAAGGCATATCATGTATTCAAGTCTTTAATCAAGGTCCCTCACAATTAATCCACATTATGATCTTACTTATTACTATTGAAGTCTGGGCTATAGTAACCTATTAGAGCATCTCCAACAGCTTCTTCATTTTATTGGTATTCTCACTTTTGAAGAATTTTAGGATTTGTTTTGGTCCAACAGATTCCCCATCCCATTCCCCAAAATAGGGATGGAGGAGAAAAAAATGGAAGTCTTCCCCAAATCTGGGGCATTCTTCAAATATTTGGGGAGAGCTTTGTCATAAATGCAGCACGTTCTTCAAAACGGGTTGGAGGAGAAAATAAATATAAAATAAAATTTGTAATTACAAAAAAAGACATGAGGTAGTTCCAATGCATAAGAGTATCCCAAAATAGGGATGTATAATATTTTTATTATTGTAATAAATACAAGATTCTTCAAAATGGGAAAGCTGTTAGAGTTGTAGCAAAAATAATTTGGAGAATATGACTTTTGCTTCCCCATTTTGAAGAAATTTTTGGGAAAACTGTTGGAGATGCTCTTACGTATTGGTTTATATTGTTAAGCATCAGTTTAACAGACTTACTAGTTTTCTGTAACTCAATTTTTGGAAACGAAAAGGTCTGAAGTTATGTGCTTATGATAATTGATTGTCGATGTTGAAATTAATAAGTGACTCTTTGAAGAGGACGTTAGCGGGCCTGATCAGGTGACTCTTTCCAAAACAACAACATAAAAAAAGACTTTATGCAATATGAGTTCAGGTGGCTCATATCTCTCTAGTTTAGAATAATTCTAACCAATCAAATTAAACCTTTAATTTTCCTTCTATAGATTCTATTGCCATCTCTTCTAACTAGCACATGATATCAAATATTACAATTTTGCATTATGATGTATTTTGAAATCTACACCATGTAATTGAAGTCAGCATATTGAATGTTAAATGTATTTTTCCTTGAGATTATCACATAAATTTTATTGGTTTTGATGAAGGAATTTTGGGAATGAAAAAGGGAAAAGGAAAAAGAATGAAGAGAAAGAGAGATTTTTTTTTTGCCCCTCTACATCTAGATCAAACCAAATCCAACCCTATACGTTACGAAGAAAAAGGAAAGGAGGCAAGAATATTTGTGTCAAAAATGTTTAAAAATTGCACGATTAATTAGCTGACAATGTAACGAACATGAACCGTGCAACTTCAAAGGACTTTGTCGTTCTTAAAGGGCTGTTTGTTTGCGTTATTTTCTTTGGAAAGCAAGATGGTTGTGTCAGAATATGAGGTCTCTGCTTAGTTTTCTTCCTTCTACATCATTTGTACGCAACATCAAGGGGTGTTTGTTTCACCAAAAATTTTGACATTTGATATGGATTACAAGTTTTGGAGAGCCGTGATCATCTGTTTGTTTCACCAAAAACAGATTGTTAACGCAAGACAGGTTGTCTATGATGGGGATTTTTCCTACAAATTCTTGTTGTCTATGCAATGGTGCTGCAATGAAGAGCCGTGATCATCTTTTTTTTTTTTTGAATGTGAGTTCTCTACAAATGTATGGAACAAGATCATGGAGTGGCTCCAATTCAGATGGCGTTCCTATGGTTCTACAGCTCCTGAAAACAGAGAATGGGTTCTATCTTTGTAAATAGATTGTTTGAGAGTGAGTGATATCTTTTGTATATCTATCAAAAAACTAGGTTTTCTCATGTTATGAGAATCATGATGTACAAATTTTTCCATATGGTTGAATGAATAAAATTTTTCATTGACCAAAAAAAGTTTTGGAATCAAAAAGTGAGTTTTTTTGTATTTTGGGAATCCATATATGGTGTTTTTTTTAAGAAATTTTTTAGAATATTGAATCCAAAAGTGTAAAAAGGGCCTAATTTTAGAATTTGCCAAATCCTCTCAATTTGCCTAATTTTATCTTTTTGTGAGAGGTAATCTCACCAAGATAGCATATTCATCATATTACAAATTTTTAACATTTGGTAATGCTACAATTTAACCTTGAAACAAATAAAATATTATAAATTATAGTATTTCAAATCCTAATATATAAATGAAACAAACAATATTTTAGAAATCCCAACTCATAATAAAACACCTATAGATTTCAAATCTCATGGTGAAATTCATATCCTATAATTATAGAATTTGAAACAAACACATATGGGAAATAGCTGATGTGGCTTCCCAAATGCTGATGTGTTATGGATTCACAAATCCCTTCAAAATAGTCCGATTTTGTCCAAAATCTGACATATGCGTCAGAAGTGAGGGGGCTGTGCTTCATGTGGTTGTTGCAAATTGATGGCCTTAAAGGGAACTTTTTACAAAACTCCCTCTTAATTCACTTTTTTTATGTATGATATCAACAAAGTCCCTTGCGTGAAAATTTCCCACTAATACAATATAAAATTGACTTTACTTTTTTTTTTTGGTAAATGAAAATTTTATTCATCAACCAAAATGTGAAAGTATATACACCAAGATAGCTCAGTTAAAAACTGAGATAACTCTCACAATGTCGGAAATCTTTACAAGTAAAAAAACCTGCACACTATGTTACAGCAATGTGCTAGCACCATCAATTCCTAGCTTATGAAGAAAAACAGTCCAAACTTCAGTTTTTATATCACTGACTAAATGCTCTGGGATCCTAGCTTTATTCTGAAAAATCCTTGCATTGCGCTCCCTCCATAAGCTATATATAGTTGCACTTATAGCCATCCTTTTCAAATCTTGTTTGAGACCCTTCCCTCGTAACCTGACAGAGAACCAGTGGATAACTTGTTGCCAATTACAAGACCTCCAGTTGAACTACTCTAACCAATTCACAATGCTATTCCATACTTCACTAGAGTAAGCACATTCAAAAAATAAATGATTCTTGGACTCACAATTAGCTCCTGCACAGAGACATCATTTATTTGTATCAATCACCCCTCTTCTAAGGAGCCTGTCCTGAGAAAGGATTCTGTCTTGCAGGACTAACCAGCACATAAAAGAATGTTTGGGAACATTTAAACCCCCCCCCCCA